GCTGTGCAAGTTTTCACGTGATCATACTGGGTGGTGGCGAGCTTTGAGCTGGGCCGATCCCGTACACCGTGAAGTCGCTACAAGTGCCTCAGTATGTCGACGGCGCCTACCACTGTTTAGTAATATGCATTAAGTCTATAGGACTTTACTAGAATGAATGAAAGGAGCAATAAACTTTAACTGAGACGGTAACTTGTTGGTACAAATGGGAGAGTTGCTTATTCCAACAACCCTCGGTCCTTGACCACTCTCCGGGCTTGGGCGACGAGTTGCGATCAGTCTGTATTTCTTGTCAATTCATTGTTGGGTATAGGCTGTAAGCAATTAAACTGCTACGTTACCATTCCTCCAGGAGGTGCGTTTCACTGCCCGAACATGGAATTTCTGTATAGATCTCATTAGCTCTTTAAAAGGAACTTATGCAATCCCTTCAGGGAGCCTGTACTGCATATCTACCAAAGCTGACAGTATCCCATTTCTTTCTCGATTAGGGTTTTTCCAACGCTGCATACTCACAATTGCCGAAGGCCATGTGCACATGCTATGTTCACATGACGATACTCGCCTCATTTTAAGTGCGAATCATTTCTTGGCGAACTTCGGTGAGTTTGAATCTATCTATCTATCTATCTATCTATCTATCTATCTATCTATCTATCTATCTATCTATCTATCTATCTATCTATCTATCTATCTATCTATCTATCTATCTATCTATCTATCTATCTATCTATCTATCTATCGCCTACGACTTTTAGCTCTCCTGACCATTTTGATGATGGGATCTATACAAAAATCGGTATGTCACAACATGACTTTATGACGAGCACAAGTGACCAGTTATAATATGGAAGTCATGACATATATGTCATGAACGTCATAATTTAAAATTCATGGCCTTGCTGCTCTTGCGATGGTTTTGTTCACATGACATATTGCGAAACTGGTATCTGGTATGGTATGACATGACTGCATGGGGAACATAAGTGACAGGCCCTCACGTGGATATTATGACTTCCGTGTCATGTAAAAACATGACTACATGCGACGCTCATGATGCGCTCGCGGTCATTTCGGTAGCTTCACATACACCAAATTTAGTATTACGTGACGTTAATGGATGATGAAGGTATATCAGTGGTGTGAACATGACAATCATGACATGCGTGTCATGTAACAACATGTCTACATGCTCTACGCTCATGATGCGCTCGCGGCCGTTTCGCTAGCTTCACATATACTAAATTTGATATCACGTGACTTAAATGGATGATGAAGGTATATCAGTGGTGCAAACATGACAATCATGACATGCGTGTCATGTAACAACATGTCTACATGCTCTACGCTCATGATGCGCTCGCGGCCGTTTCGCTAGCTTCACATATACTAAATTTGATATCACGTGACTTGAATGGACTACGAAGACAAATGACACGTCCAAACATGATAATCATTACATGCGTGTCACGTATAACATGACTACATGCTACGCTCCTAGCGCGCTCGCGGGGGTTTTGCTAGCTTCACATATACCAAATGTGGTATATCGTGACGCGAATGGAAGACGAGCACAAATGCCATGCGCAAACATGATAATGATGACATGGAAGTGATGTACGGCCCAATTTACGTCCGCTTCGTAACGTTGCGCTGATTTTAATGTGACAATGCAACCTTACTCATTCGTGCTTCGCATATCATCGATTCCCACTGTACTTGGGATCTACCAATTTTCCCCTTTTATATTGATTTTCTTTCTCACCATTGTCTTTCTCTATACATTTCTCAAAGTTTATTAAGGGTCCTTCACATATTTTCGCTTGCATTTTGTGCACACAAAACTGGATACCGTATTGTTTAACGAGTTCCAAGTCCAAACATAAGTTTTTTTTTTTTTTTTAACGCGAAACATTCATGAGAACCAGGATTTCGAGCGTACATCTTTCCGATTCACCCAATACCATAATTTAAAGACTATATTTCGAAAACAAATTGTGCGATAAAGCAGGAACTGTAACGTATACGTGAAATGTTAAAATATTATTTAATCTGAAAGAAAACACCCTCAGGTAGCCATGAGTCGTGACGAGTAGTAAGGGAGAAGCGGGAAGGCCGTTGGACGCGTATTACTTCCAGTGGCTTGTGTTGGCTAAGTTGTATCTGGTGTTCGATAGCGTTGCTCTAACGTCGAATGGTAATTCACATACACTAAAGATATTTCTTCTGTGGAAAATTCATTGCATTGGTTGGTTGTAACTTTATTGCGTCCTGCAGGCTTTTTGGTGACCCGGGCTCAGGTATCCCATTATGGTGCGTCAAGATCTTGCCTGAGCCTGCATGGCCCCGAGTTGGTCGCCGAGGTCGTAGCTGCGCAGAGCGGCGGTCGACCTCAGCGATAGGGTCTCGGAGTTTAACTCGTTAGATCAGTGAGAATTCCATTCCATTCGAAACATAGTTTTTATGTTACTTCATAAGAGTGTATTTTCAGTCGAACGGCTGAAATTTCAGCTTTATATACCACGTACCATATAGTACATACGGGGGGTATAGGAAGAAACAAAGTCACGATAGGCCAGTTTAACTTACAACGCACGTTGACGCGAGAGTTAAGGCTTAAAGATCAGGACTGGGAAATAGTATATTGGCACAAGACTGATAGTTTGCCTAATTGGTACTTCCTTAATGACAAACTTTAGCCGCAAAATCACAAACACAGAGCGAAGAAACAAAACGACAAACACACGCGTGCACTTGTCGTTGTGTGTTTCTCAAGCTCTGTGTTCGGGATTTTGTGGCCAAAGTATGTAATTACGTTTATTGGACATTAAAAGAACCGAGGGAAGGGGGCAGAACGAAGCGTAATTGTATACCTTTTGTATTAGACAAGCTAACTGCAGCTATAAGGAGATTCTCTTTGCTGCTTACACCAAGTTGCACGAATCAACATGAAGCGGCTGCAGTTACTGCCTAGGCAGTGTTAATTGCGTATGAAACATGTCACAACTTTTCAGCCGAAATGCCGAGGACCCGGAATCGGAAATTCCCGTTTGACAACCAAAGTTTTAAACCGCATGAGGGGCCGGCGATTTGCAACCTCAAGACATCCGTCTGCCTGTATATCTGTTTTCTTTTTCAAGATGTTTCTAATAACGATTGATTGATTGGTTGGTTGCTTGATTGATCATAATACATTTTCACTAACACAGGCGTAAACTTTTTCTTCATTCTGCATGCAACGTCATATGCTTCGCGCATGCAGCGCACGTCGCGAAATCAAGACTCCCAACTCAACTTTTTTTTTGCTTTCTTTATTAGCCACTTTTTATTGCCATATCTACGCGAGATTACAAACTTATATTACAACAGGGCAAGTTCAGGTGTGTCTTACACCCGACTTTGCATTCAGAATGTCACACAAGAATAACGGCACACGATTCTTTTTCGGCATCGTCCACAAGTCACTCTCTCAAAACGCGCGTGACTGTTCCAAGAGCGCACATCACACCTTGACGCAATCTCACATCGGAGGGGAGAAAATTCAGTACAAGCAATAAAAGAACAATAAAAAAAGATTGCAGATGCGTACGTAATACGGTGGTCTTGTCAGATGTCAAATTGACGCGATGATCTGGAATGCCACTTGAAGAGGTTACACGGCAACCTATACACGTCGCTCCCAAAGGCGTCGCTGTCCTTTTAAGAGCACCCTTTACAAGAGCGTCTGCTTCAGTGCTTGCAAGCGCTCATTGTTTTCACGAGAATGCTCAAACCAAACAGCCCTATTCGTTCCCTGCCCGGCACCAAACTTCTCGTGAAATACTTCTTAGGAAACCGGTATTGTAAACAAATCCGGCTAGCGCTTTCAAATGCCAAGCTTCTATAGCACGTCCTCATGTCCACTACCGATACTACCATAGAACTTCTATTTCTTTTTTTCGCTCGCTTATTTACACAACGTGGGTAGATTGCCCTCAAGCGTGAAATGCGTTAGAAGTTACATGTCGGACATGGCCAGACAGTGACATCGGATCGCAACCTAAAGACTAATTTTTCGAGGTTCACTTGTGAATGAAATGCGTCACCGGCGATTCACACCTGAGCGCGTGTGCGAGTGTACGTTCGCATGAACGTAATTACAAACTGGGTGCGAAGAACTGACACCACTACACCATTCTGTAGCTGCTTCCTATAAACAGACTACATAGCTAAAGGGATGAAGAATGGATGGGAGGTCGTACTCGACTGAAAAACAAAGCAATTATTGATGAGCGAAGTTCAGTCCTTAAAGAGGAAAGGTACTTGTATCATTAAGTTTAGCTTTTGGTCTCAATGCCCCCACCTTAGTGCTGCGCGTAACGTGCCATGCCTTTAGCCCCGTACGCTGTTACTTAGCTGTACAGTACCCCTACGACCCGCAACCCAGGGGTTTGAGGTGCAGTACAGAATTTATCATTTTACTGTGCTCCTATGGTTGCTGGCGGGGATAACTTTATAGCCACTGGTGTTAATGTGCTGACGGCCGAAAAGGGGCTTCAGGCCATTGACAACAAAATGACGAGCAGTAAGGGATCGAGTGACAGAAAAATCATCGCACAAGGATCCCTCGCCTGTCACTCGACTACCCCGCTGGGAGTCAACTTACTGCGACAATATACTCAAGAGGCCTTGCGAAAACACGATGAAGTTGTGTGCGAACAAAGAGCGTCGTGCGTGAAGCTCTTTCTCCTAAGGGCCTTCGAAAGCACCGAACTAAGGATTAAAGCTTTAATCGGTCATTGTGCTCACTTTTCTTAAGCAAAGAAAAAAAAAGGTTCGCATTCCGTGGGTGTAACGACTAGACTTTCCGCTTCGAAAGCTCACGAACCCTCCAATTCAGTCTCTCTCAGACTGCATCAAAGAACAAGATAACAGTCGAAGTATGAAGGAATCTTCTCTACAAGAGGAGTGGGGACGAGGAGGAGGCATGCGCCGGAGCAGGCGACTGACGCTGGTCTCCTCTAGCAGGACTCCCTGCTCGTGGGCCGGAAAGAGGACGCCGAGGACAACGAGGAGGACGACGTCGTGGGAAGAGGAGGATGAGACGAGGCAGCGGGAGACGACGGTCTGGCCACCGAGCACGGCGAGGCCGTTGAAGACGTACACGGCGGTGGCATTTGAGGTGGCACGACAGACGCGGGCAGTCCGTTGCTCGAGGCACCCGGTGGAAGAGCGTGATGGGGCGGCGGTGGAGGCGCACCCTGGCCGCCCGGTGGTGGAGCGACTCCGGCCGGAACTCCAGGAGGAGCAACTCCCGGAGGTGGAGCGCCCGGGTAAAGCCGGTACGCCATGGGCTTCTGTAGAGCGGCCTGCCGGTAGTAGAGGTCCAGCGCGGCCATGGTGCTCAGCGAGGACTGCGGTGATAGGCCCGTGTAGCTGGACAGCCAGTACGGAGCCGTCTGAAGCATTCGCTGCACGGCTGCGTAATTTCCGGCCTCAGCCAACAGCTCGAGGCCCACGGCCGTCTGTCGCTTCCATTTCGTCCTGCGCGAGGAAGAATGAAGCAATGCTCAATGAACCGATCACACTCTTTCTTCACAGGATAGATTGTGTGTAGGCCTGGGATCCCAGCACACGGACCATGCCAGCCGATATGCTATCATTGAGCATTTGCACAGGGAAGTGTATACAGCCAAGGTGCCCTGTCACGGCTTATCAAGGCCAGTCATACCATGTATCCGATGTAACCATAAGTAAAAACTTGGGAAATGGGATGCATGTTTGAATCATTTAGTATCAAAAAAGTTATTAGGTGGGAAAGCATAATTTTTGCACAGTGCTACTAAATACGAAGATCACTAACGTGTTAATATAGCAGCTCGGACAACATTTTTATGAACGTTACATAACGTTTTCTTATTTTTTCGCATGGGTTAAATTTAAACCGATACATCACACCAACATTGTTGTCTCATAGTATTCTAAAAATTATTTATTTACGCGGACGTTGCGAAATAACAGTGGATTGACATTTAGAGAAGACAAAAACCAACGTGGAAGATATCAGAGTACAGATGAAGCAAACAACACCCATACTTAAGTACGAAGCAGCAACGCCCGAATCGGCACACAAGGCTCCCTGAAGACAAAAGTGACTCTAACTGGAGTTCTGTTAGCATCCAATCAAGCACCCTTTCGACAAGCACAAAGCTAGCCCGAAGAAACACGAGCATTCCAACAGGAAACGAAAAACGGAGACTGCAGCTTCGTAGAAAGCCAGTGGAGTGTTTTCGAACAAGCGTCCTCACGCATCTCTGTGCAGGGCATGCGTCAAGCTCTGCCGGAGCTGTGGATGCTCAACGTCTGAGAACTGATGCCTGCGAGGTCCGCATCATGAAGCAAGCCTAATTAAACCGCATTCACAAAAAGCCGTAGGGGGGAGACTGAGTGAACGAAGGAGGAGGGGAGAAACCGGCGAAGCGACTTCTCAGAAATTAACCAGGCTCACAAATGGTTTCGCGTTTCCTCTTTCCTCTAAGTGATGTGTACCACACCATACTAGAGAACAAAAAATACGCACGCGCGCAAGTATGAAAAGGGCGGCCTCCGCTTAAACGTTCTAAACGCTCGTTTTGTACACACGGCAGCGGAAGTGCTTTACGTGAGCGCCGCAGAGATAGCGGGCAACGGAGACGGAAAACAAAAGAAACGCCCAAAACGCTGCTGCCGCTGAATACGGTTGCGGTCATGCGCGGTCATTCATTTGCGAGCGCCTTTCCGGGGGCTCTCGCACCGGGCGTATGTACGAACGTTCGCAAACTCCCTCCGCTCTGCTTTTCCCGCGTGCACGAGCGAACACACACATCTCGGGAGCCGTCGCCCCTCCCCTCAGTCGCACGCGGAGATACACACATCGCGTGCGCGCTTGTCCCTACCGTATATTTCTTTTCGCTGTTTTGGCGTCGACACGAGAGGCGCATGCAACGTGCAGCAGCCGTTTAGCGGACGGCTGGGAGAGCGGGACACGTATATATCTCTCGCTAAGCGATTTCTGACAGGAGCGCTTTGAGCTGCGACGTCTTCGCTGCGGCGACAGAAGGGTGCGCGCTCTCCTCCCCGCCGTGGCTTCGCGGCAGCCAGACTCCCACGATGCTCAGGCACCATACTTCCTGCCGCTAAGCGCAGTCGAGGGAATAGCGCTTGCCAGAGACACAATTAAAGGCGGCACGGAAAGCTGGAAATGAGACGCCTCCCCCCCCCCCCTTTTTTCTGTTTTTTTTCTGTCAGTGCTTTGGAAGAAGAGGCCACTCGTGGTCCCCTGGCGGTGACAAACGTGTCACACATTCGCCGGCGAAACGCGAGTGAACGCGGAAAATATCGTATCGGGTGGCGTCGTTGTGCGCGTGACGTCCCTCCTTACCCCGGTAACATGACCGGGGAAAATAACAACGGTGAAACGCACAAACACGTATTTTCGACTCCCGTTTGCTGCCAAAACAAGACTGTATACGTCCTTGAACTCCCCACTTGCTGCTTTAGAGTCTCGACCTCCTCTTAATCTTGCCCTTTTATCATCCTACTTCTATCTGAATTGTTCAACTCCGCCACTCATTCATTCACCGAAGACATAGGGTGCCACATACAGTCCATCTGCAAGACGAAATGGGTGCGTACCTTCTGTTCTGATACCACGTCTTGACCTGCGTGTCGGTGAGGTTGAGCTTGGCGGCCAGCTCCATTCGGTCCTGCACGCTCAGGTACTTTTGGCGCTCGAAGCTCTTCTCTAGGGTCTGCAGCTGGTGGTCTGTGAAGGCGGTGCGCGCCTTGCGCTGCTTCTTCATCTTGAGCGAGCACATTCCGCCACCGCTTCCGCCGCCGCCAGGGGGAGACTCCAGCGTCCGCTCCGGGGATTCACTCCCTGGGGTCAGAAAAAAGAGCCAGAAAGCAAACTCATTAGTTCCTAGAACGAACAGCCGGACTCAAACAAAGCTTATAGCAAGAAAACACCGTATGACTGTACCGTAGTGTCACGTCAAGATGCTTATTCAATAACGGTTCCCCTCAGTCAGCCATGCCTTGTGCTATTTTGCAGAGTATAGATTAACGAAGGGCTCAAAAAAGGGGGCAACACGGCTAGATGAGTGATTCGTTTGAAGTTTCTTATGTTCGAGTGAAACAGCAGAAGCCAATACTCACTTCATCCAGATTGATAAAACATTTCGTACGATCTGCATCGTAGATACACCTGTGTTTTCTGGTTCCCCTTCTTCTGTTTCCCCTCCACATTCCGCCGTTCTACGATTAGCTACAATTGCGCCAAGTGATGTGCCAAAAATGGCAAACGTAGGAGGAGGCAAACGCGATGAAAACTGACGAGTTCGAACTTTCTCCCTCCTCACTTGTGTCCCTTTTCTATTCGCCTTGTGACGAGCTAATCCTATAAAATTAAACCTATCTCCAGACGTTCTCCTTCTCAATAACAGATTACACTTCTACATTGAAGACATTCTGGTGACTGTTGCCGCTGCAGCCACATATCTATACAGAAGCCAACAAGGCAGTGAAATACAGATGGCGAAGTATACCCTATATCGTATACTACGGTGGTGCTACAAGATAACATATACAAGTTGGAGCTGCCACGCATGCAACGCATGCCGCCAAACGCGGAGCATCGGAGTGTGCGAGCATCAATAACTGTTCCTCGCTTCCGTCGTGCATTTCCGAGTCATTTCTGCCTGCGTTCTCCCTATTCACTCGGCGGTCATATCTGGCCGGTCGTTCAGGTGTTTCGGGGCATGGACACTATTCACGCGACGATGGACGAAAACGCCCTCGGTGTTGAACGCATCGCTCCGGTATACACTCTCAGCGGGAGACGAACAATCGAAAGAAGCAAGCGTTTTAGCTGCGCTTGGCGTGTTTCAAATTGTGGCGGCTTCCGCTGTGCACGAGGCAAATCGGCGCGCACGTGGATATAAAGGGCCATCTGTAATGGTGCTCCCTGCCAAGCGCCATGGAAGCGTGCACCTGTTGCGTCGTACGGAAGTGCGAGAGTTGGATGACATGAAACGAGACCCTCCCTAAAGGCGGGACTTTTTTTGTATACACCACCAGATACCCCTGCGACAACGTTGCCACGCATGACGAACAACCCTTTGTGCGGGTTTATTACTCACTGCGCGCGAGTCTATGCAAGGCGGTGCGCGTATCCCTTCGGTATAACCATGGAATTCGCGGCCACAGAGATGCGACACCAATTTAGTCAGAATGTGATCGCAGCTAATGGCTTTGCGGAGAAAGGATGTTATACGAACAGCCCAGAGGGATTATGATAGGGTGAGTGCGTGAATCAGTCGGAAAGCGATTGTTGAGGCGCCCTGGTAATGCATGGGTGCGAGGAAGGAGAAACGTGGCCGTCGCATAACATATAATAAATATACCACTTCAAAAACCGTGAATAAGTGCAAAATATCACTCTTATACAGGCAGTTCACACATAAGCAGCGAGCTATGTAGGCAACCTTTATAAAGAAAAAAAAATATGAGACCGGGGCCGGAAAAGGTCAGTTTCACCGCAAGGGTGAACCAAAGAGTGTGATAGCAACAAATTGCAGTGTTATATGCGACCCTGCGTAACTGGCCCCTTTCGTCGTTTTTGACGTGAAACTGTAACTCGTCGGCCCAATCAGTGACCTTTTTTCTCCTGCTCTATAACTTTCCTTTCTCCTCTCCCCTTCCCCAGTGCAGGGTAGCCTACCGGGGCTCAGCCCTGGTTAACCTCCCTGCCTTTCTCCTTGTGTTCTCTCTCTCTCTCTCTCTCTCTCTCTGAGCCACTTGCTAATCCACGTAAAGACAAAGACACGGCGTGCGCGATTTTCGGGCGATTATGCTCGGCGAGTCGAAGTACGCACTTGCTTTCGGAGCCCCGCAACAGCATATCCTGCTTCTCAGTGAGCCTTTCGCGAGACAAGAGAGGATTGGCGCGTTTCCTCTTCACTTGCACTTCAATGGGTCAGCTGCTCCCGCGCGCTTTCACTCGTGCACAGAAGATGCAACGCGTGAGCCAACGTTATTTATTTGGACTTCCAGACGCTCACGGCGATGGCAGAAATGCGCGGGAAATGTTCATATATTTGATATCGTGATAATAAAAAAAAAGACATTTGCCACGAAGAGTGGAGTGTCATGAAACTACTGGCTCTTCAAAGCTACTGAGTGCTACGACCTAAGTTTACTTTTTTTTTCTCTGTAGCTTTCAAGCGATTTCGATTTCGTGGATTCCTGAGTGGACGGACGATCTTTTGAGAAAGGCTCTAGGCTAATGCTTTTTTTTTTCAATCGCATGTAGAAACGCAAGGCACATCATTTTGATACGTGATGAAATTGGGGACACGAAATTAGCGTCCGCGAGCTCCAATTGGAAAAAAAAAAAATTAAGAATGTATTCGTTTCGTACGTTATACTGCGAACGTGTATGCCAATAATTATTTTCTGGGTTTAGAGTGAATTGGGCTCACATTAATAGTCTAGTTTACTAAAATCAAATGACCGGCTGTGGTGATCTATAGCGGCACTCAACTGCGGATGCCCAAGTTGCGAGATCGAACCGTGTCCAGGGCAACTGATTTTCGAAGGAGGCGAAAATGCTGGAGCCCCATGAATATGAATTAAGGGGCACAAGAACCACAGGTGGCTTAAATTTCTGGACTTTTCCCCTGAGGCGCTCCTAATCACGATATTTTTGGGACGTAAATCAGAGTAGTTATTGTTGTTATAACCAAAATAAAATCGGGTGTTTTCCGCACCAGCATGGCTCGCTTTGGGCAGTCAAAACCCCAAGACTCGATAATGTTTTCAGGTTCCTTTCCACGCAGAGTTCCCACACATGAACAGTGTCGCAGGACGTTCTTTCGCCGGCATTTTCCATCGACGTGGTTAATTTCGGCGTCATGTCATACACAACAACGATATCGCGTGTCACGTATGCGTACCGACTACCGCCTTATTACTTGCTGACGTGCTTATGTAGTCGGTGACCGCGCGACCTTGGCCCAGGCACGGCATCATGGTGCGTCCCCACTTGACCCTCTGCCATAAACACTCGGCGGTTTGACCCTCGCACGCCTGCCGCTGCTCCTCTTTCCATTCGTGCCGGCGCGAGCGTGCATGTCAGCTCCTACCTTTCGCACGGCCATGAATGCGACGGCTCTATAGCAACTATACACAAACCGCGCTGCCATGGAGAGGGGCGGACACTTAAGCCCGAGGGTTACACATCGGTATTATAGCATGTGCATCGGACAGATGACCGACCGACAGCGCGTACCCACCACTCAAGCTTTTGGTCTACACTTCAAGAGAAGCAAAAGAAAGGAGTATACGTTACTCTTTTCAGTGATTCCTGACTTGCCACTTATATGACTCCTTTTAAAGAAACACCTTAACTCTCTTTTGGGCCCCACCACTCTCGTACGGGAGTATAATCCCAAAGAGTAATCACGTGTATCTTCAAAAAGTCTTACACGTGGCAAGCAACCAAGAGGTTTGAGTTCTCTGCCAATGAATTTATTTATAGACGTTCGCGAAATAAGGCTTTGACAGCTGGCTTTTTTGAGCACTTCATTAACCCTTTGCGGTTCAAAACCCTTTCCTACCTTCCGTCCATTCGTGTATGAAGGTAACAGACTCAAGTGCAAGAAGTTTACTTAGTCTTTTTTTGGGTGACGCATTGTGTGGTGAGAAAACCAACGCGTGAATGAACGCAAAGGAACTTTTCGTGGAGTACCTGACTATGGACGACTACGGCAAGGTTGCATTATTAGGCAGCGGCCGACAACGAACTGCAAAAGGTTAAAGCTTCTGAATCCTTTTTAGAAATATTTAGTCCGCAATAGGGCAAATAGCTGACAGACAAGAGCGCCATAACACAGTAATAACACGATGAATTAAGAGGGAAAAGGGGCAGAAACGTTCAGTGCGCATTCGCCCACCCCAAACATGAGCGAAGTATATCATCAAACGTCCAAGGGCGCATGCTCCGCATGACATAGCCATGTTTATAACCCAAATTTTAAACTCCTCGAGCGCTCAAGTTGGACCTCGTAACACCATAGAAGATGTGTCATGGCCATGAAGCGTGGGTCTTTGGCATCTGCGAATGTGAGTGCTGTCCTTCAAAGTCGGGTGACGCTGCGATGAGAAATGTCAGCGCCACTTGTAACGTCCAAGCCCTCTAATGTGCCCATATGCTACACGCAACGAAGCCTTTAGACTAGCTGTGGCTACACGCAACGAAGCCTTTAGACTAGCTGTGGTGTAGCAATTATTAATATAAAAAAACATTCCCTCAAGTCTGAACATGCTAGCGCCGGCGTACCTTACAGCGAAGCAACAAGCAAAACAAATCTAGGAGCCAAACGTCAAGTTCACGACGTTTCTTTCTGTTCGTGGTTTCATATCCCTCCATAGCAATTGTTATTCTCGTTCACATTTTCACACTATGTAAGTACGGGTCATACGCGTGCACTAAAACCTTTTTGCTAGGCCCCTTCAACTCAACCACCCCTGAAGACCCATCGGTGTTAAGGATTCTAATCACTGTCTGCCTCCGAGACGTCAATTTCTGTTAGCGATTGCGTCGCGTTGTTTAACCAGGGCAAAACAAACCCGTCTGTGGCAACGATTCCCACTGTGCAGCCCCCCCCCCCCCCCCTCCTATGCGTATCACACACAAACGGCGACCGAAAATGAGTGCCCTCCCGCACGAGGAGATCGGGGTTGAGGCTCTAACCGGCGCGACTCCTTCGTCCAGTGGCCGCGAGTGTGCGTGTATGTACCCGCAGTTCCCAGGCGTCACACGTAGCATGGGATCCGCGGGGTAATTGCAGGGGAGGCATCATCGCCGCGGCTTTTTCCCTGACAGACGC